ACAGACACGGATATATATATACAGATTGAACAACAGATTTTCTTTGTTCAATCTGTATATATATATCCGTGTCTGTGTAAATTACTTGTACCTGATGATGACAAAACCTTGTCGAAACGTTGTACATTTGCTGTCATGTTAAACTTATATTAAAGTTTTTCTTCATTACCTATTTAAGCCGTCTCCAGCCATTATTACTGAATGTAATGTGAAGTTATATAAAATATTATTTTGCATATAATTATACAATAATACAATTTGATATTAGAAGTCCACAAAATAATAAAAGAAAGGAGATAAAAAGTTTTATGATGTATAAATATATATATATATAAACCAATCACTAAAAAATATTTACTCAAGGAGAGCAGGTTTTTTCAATAAAAACATTTTACTTTTGAACACTTGTTAAACTTTTTAATTTTCAATATTATAAATGACAAAATTTGCATAAAATATTAAAAGAGCACAAACAGTAGGAGTGAAAGTACAAAATAATAAATCTGGATCTTGACAATCTAACTGTCATCAAGTTGACACTAAATCAGGAGGCTAACATATGATGCACTTCATATAATAATAATACTGCATTTGGATCAATATATGATTTAAAATATTCTCTTTACACAAAATAACAACAAATCTGCAGTTCTGTGTGCATAAAAGATAACATTCTAGAAGAGACTAATATAGTAACTGATATAGTATCCAATACATCTTGCCTTCAAGTATGTTATTTTTCCATCATATCAATAGTAGCCACAGCTTATTGAATTGCTACTATAGCATTTGCTGATTGTCCCTTTAGATTTACAAACCAGTTTTTAACGTTAATGCCATAGTCAATGATCACATCCAGTACATTTGCCAGTGAGATACCAAGCCAAATTCCAAGATATCCACCAATGTAACTGAACAGCTCCACATCCTATATAAAGCAGAAATGATTAAGTACATGAAAATAAACACTCAACACACATGACCAATGTTTCTATACTCTGTAACAACTGTGAACAAAATTTAAATTAATCAGATATATTTTGTCACGGCAATCATTTTTTTCTTATTATTCAACAAATGTTAAGATTTAAATCTTGGTAATAGACATTTTAAACACATTCATGATATGCTTAGCTACTATAAATCACTATTCCAGTGCTTAAAGTGGGACAGGATAAGGCAGAATTCCATTACACTTCTTTTCAGGAGGGCCCGAAACCATTCCACTACCTTTTAGTAGGCTGTAAGATTCTTAGAAGGGAAAGGTTCAACAGACAATGCAATAAATATTTGCAACAGCAAGAGACAGGGGATAGAAACTTTTTTCTTTTAAAATATCATATAAGAGCGAGGCAGGAATGAGATAAAGTATACATGGATGGTGCTACAGGTTTGGTCAGTATGACCGAGTTCATAACCACAAAGTAACCATCAAAGTTTCCAAACTATAACTTGTGGCAGTATACATTTATTTATAGTTAACTTTATTGTTTTATTCCTCTTTGAACCATGTCTAATTAACAATCCTGCCACAAAATTTGTAAATCACTTGGCAAACTTGCAGCTCACACTACTATATCAAATTACACAACACAGGAGCTGCTTGCAAGTATACACTGTGAAGAATTTGTTGGTTTTTTTTCATTATCTTACCTAATCTAACCTAATAACTTTCTGCTCTTTACATTTGAGTTGCTTTTATAATAATAAATAACGGATACAAAGGAAATACAAGAAATATAGTACTGAGCTTCAAAAATTTCACAGACCATCCCATTTCCTATTTCCCCCACATCAAGAACTACTTTATCCTTTAAAAATATCATGTACCAAGTCATAATACTTATTACTGAAGTTACACAATATTTTCAGTTGTAAAGTTTGTTTATTCATTAAAACATTTACCTGATATCTCGGATGATGTTGGTAAACCTTAAGCTCTTTATTGTTAATGAATAGATCGACTTTTAGACCATTCATTCTGGAACAAAATGTGCATAGAAATTAATATTTATGACTTTAGAAACCTGAGAAAGTTAATGATGTTAAAAGTCACAAAATGTCCATAAATTTATCATCTGGTATATCACACACACCTTTATTTCAATTCAGTGCAATCCAAAATTATTAATCAATAACCTAAATGAAATACATGTCTTCTCGAAAGCTCTTCATCCAAAATGAGACTTGCATGGAGATATTTATCATTTCAATGAGATAAAAATTAAATTTCTGAAGTTTTACCAATGGATAAATATTTGATAGAAATAAGGTAGAACTAAAACCTAAACATTTTCAACGGGACATTTTAATCTTTTTTTACTTCAGCAAAGAGAAAAAAAAATCATTGACTAATAAACTGAAAATGATCTACTTATGTTGCAATTTTCCACAGATGCCATAATGACAGCACTTAAAACATTTGGTTGACAGATGTCATTTGAAAAGAGTTTGTTTGAAGTTAAGCACAAAGCTACACAAAGTACTTTCTGTGCTCTTCCCAATACGGGTATTGAAACCCAGTTTGAAGCACTGTAAATCCACAGACATACTGCTGTGCCACTGGGGGGACTTTCAAAAGTGAACACACGATATCCCAAATTTGGTACTGAGTTGAATAAAATGTATTGAAAGAAAATCCATTCACTTTAAATACTATGAACACATCAAGGCAACGTCTTTAGTATTATACATGTATTTACAAGTAGTATAGGAATTTTTAATCACAAACATAAAGACACTATTATACAATTGAGTTATAATGTGATAATTGTGAGTGATATTTTGTTCAAAATAAAAATGAACAATTATTGTTATAGGACATTCTTACAACTATACTGTCATGTATTTATTACGTAAAATAAGTCAAACATTACTTGTAAAATATGGGAAATTCTGTAGTAGTGTATAGAACAAAAACATACCTTACAGATTCCATAGAGACTGGTTTCTTTAAAAATGACTGGTATAACTGAATTTTTACTTTCTGAAAAATCAATAATTATATTTTATTATAACCATATTTTTTGCTTATTTTATGCATACACATTAATATTATTTAAAAAATACCTGACTGATTAAAGAACAAAATTTTTCCAGTAATTTAATTAGGAATTTCTAAGAAGTGGAACTTGTTTCTTTGATCCACTTTGACAATCCATTTTGTTCTATCCAAGTGTAAAATCACTAGGGAAAGGGCATCCCAGCCTAAAATATTGTGAAAATTAAAACATCTATTTAACATTAACCATTTTTCTTCTTCTTTTGTTTTTGATGACACAGTAACAGAACCAACCAAGTAGTTTGAGCTAAATTTAGTATTAGTTTGTGATATATCCTGCTAATCATCTCATAATGTAACGAACCAACCAAATATTCTTTGAGGAAATCATGTTCAGCTGAAAATACAGTTGAGTAGATAGGAAGAAAAAATTTTAGTGTTATTGTTGCATTTTCAGGTAAAACTGATTTCCTGATAGGTAAAGCTACAATAACAGTAAAATCAATCAAGAAATAAGCAAAGTCTTCTGTAGTTGATAACTTCACCAAATGTTAAGTTATGTGAGAAATAAACACATTCAAAGGACAGTGAAAACAATATTTATTTAGAAACAAAAAAAACAAAAACATTTAGACAAGTGAACAATCTTCTATACTGGATCATTGAATATCTCATCAGCTCTCTGTCCCTCAAGATGAATCTGTTGAACTAGTCACAACAAAAGTCAAACTGAACTGAACAAAGAAAGTGCATTAGAAATTAACAAATAAGCATGCGTTTTCCAATCAGCAACATCACCAAAGAACATTCCTGTGCTAATACTTTTAGCCTATATGTGATATATATATTATTTCAATATCCCTGCTAGCAGAAGAGAGATTACCTACTACTGAGAACAAAAAACTGAAGCAAGTAGAACAAAGCAATCTATTATAGCACAGAAACTAAATAACTAAAAATATTTAAAAATTTCTATAACATTAACACCATGACCACAGAATACTATTGCAAAGTTTTCTGTGTTACTGTCATGTGTATTACCCTTACTTGAATTCTTCTGATTTAAAGAAAGCATTTGACCAAGAGAGAGAGTTATGTGGAGATGGTTTTATGACAGGATTGTCTGATGTATGAGTAGTATTCTCCTAGACATTTCACTTTGTTTTTCTCCAAATTTCCATGACTTCAGTCTCTCTGGAACTGCGTATTCAGAAAAATCAAAACAGTATATTAATCTTGGCACAAGAGAAACATAAAGTCCTGAGAGTCACCAAGGTTAAATTGCATCTGGTGAGTCTGAGACTGGATGGAGTTGTCTCTACAGGATTTTAAGGCTGCTGCCAACTGCAGTAATTCAACCCTAGCTCCGCTCAAGACCACATGTAACGGACTGGTTGTGCCACTGAGGGACAAAGCCTGTCATTTAGAGCAGTTTTCCTCGCAGTTAATATAGCAGACACAAACCAGAGAAGATCACAAACTATAAAATAGAACTTCAGCTGCAGAAGAAGGACTCTCCAATTCAACCCTAGCTCTGCTCAAGACCACATGTAACGGACTGGTTGTGCCACTGAGGGACAAAGCCTGTCATTTAGAGCAGTTTTCCTCGCAGTTAATATAGCAGACACAAACCAGAGAAGATCACAAACTATAAAATAGAACTTCAGCTGCAGAAGAAGGACTCTCCAACCTAAGAGGTATCCCATCAGGCCAATCATGGATCACAAATAAATCTGGGATAAAACAGAACACATGCAGAACAGATAAAGCAATCATAGAGCTTGCTTTAGTAAGGCTCTTGTGCAAACATATCTATGGCAAAACAAATTCCTATCAGTCGTCAATGCTAATGGAAATTGACTCTCAGTTATAGGACAGAGAAGATTGAGTAAATTTGTACTTAATCGTGCATTTATGATTCCTTAATGCAGATACTGTACAAGAAAGAAAGAACACTACTTGCAGTTTTTATAAAATACTATCACCACTACTTAAATGGTTCAAGGATCACCATCTGGGTGGACCACACTTTACTTAAATGATTAACTAAATTTGAAAATCTGGGAGAGATAATAGTACACTGGATAACAACATCACAAGAATATGACTATCATAATACATCACCCAGGCCTGTAATATGGAGACATGAATGGACTGTTTTGCAGCAAGGTGAGATCCCGTTCTTTCATGGAATGTTCTAATTCTGGACATCCTCTGAGAAGTGAAGCCATTTCCACAACAGCAATATCAAGCCAGACAGGAAGAGATTCTACTAGTGGATGAATGTCACGATTAACACGTCAGAAACTACAGGAAGAGCAGCTGAAGGACCCACTTCTAAGTGGGATGCTTCTTACTGTGCAGCAATGTAAAGCTCAGTCAGCACAATTAAAAAATGTAGCATGGACACACTACCAGTGGAACTGGAATAGTCAGTAATAAATGCAGCAATGTGTGATGTGCTAGCTTAAATTAGATAGATCAGCTGCAGACATAGTTTGCCAATGGCCAAACTGCATATGCTGTAACACCAGTTGGAATGATACTTGGGCAAAATAGTCCTGCCTTGAACAGGACACAGATATTCCCATAATCAATGACAAGATAAGCCATAGCTGAAGTTAGGGCTCCTTCTTTCGCCCTATGTTGTCTTTCATAGCCCGTCTCTCATTGCATTTAGACAAACGTAGTCTGAGAAGCCCTTAGGATCATCTGGAACAATGATGCTGAATACCATAATTCCTTACAGTACATGTTGCAGTGAAGCCGGTGGTCATTGCTACTGACAAGCTTTAGGAGCCATCATGGACCCTGAATGTTGCTTTGGAGAAGAATCAACAGCTACCACTACTCTTGATTCGAGCAAATAGCTCAGAGTGAGTACTTCAAACAGCGCTGCAACAAAAACAGCCTCCATAAGAGACAAGATGGCTCTGAGACCCATGTAGGGCTACAAAGGTTCATTCAACAGCTCCCTCAATAAACATAACAATATGTATATAATCATGATAACCAGGAGACATGCTCAAAAATGCCTTCCCATGTAACTTCCTTATGCCACCTATTGGGTTCTCAACTTATGAGTTTCAAACTCACCCATATGGAATGCTTGGTTTTCCACAGGATTGCATCTGCAGTCCTATCCATCGATAATCAAATCCCAGTCACCAATTAGCTCCTTTAGGATATTGACACTAGACCATCTACACTGAGCATCATGTGTTGCATCACTTGTTTCTGACTCCACACAAATTACAAAAAAAATACTTTGCAGAAATGCTTGAAGAAATGGTCAAAATCCTCCTTCACTATTTTTTTAATAAAATACTGATGAGTTTACCTGTTTCACATCACTACATTAACTAAATTATGATGGGTACAGGTCCTTGCTATCAGCTTTTTCATCACTATACAACTGATACGCTGCCAAACTTACAAATACTTTTATTTTGTGTTTGTGTATTACTTCTCACAACTTTCATTATTCTTTTTTTAGCCTAAGATTATGTTCTCAAGCCACGCATTCTTTGTTTTTTCTTCTGTTTTTCTTGTATCATATTTCTTCTATAATTAGTAGTTTTCTCCTCATTGAAAATCTGCTGAAAGGCTATTGCCTAAAACGATATTTTATTATTCATCAATAGAATTATTTTAACTAGGCAATTGTTCCGCTTTGTTTGCTTTTCTTACATTTTGTAATTTCTTTGTCCACACAATGTTTTGTTTGTTTGTTTGAAATTAAGCACAAAGCTACACAAATGGGCTATCTGTGCTCTCCCCACCACGGGTATCGAAACCCGGTTTCTAGCGTTGTAAGCCCGCAGACATACCGCTGTGCTACTGGGGGGGCCAATGTTTTGTTATCAGAATGCAAACAATTAACTGTAAGTCATTTTAAGGATGCAGAAATATAGTAAAAAATACATATTAATCATTGGGCATTACATGATGAGAAAATACATTTACAGTACAATACCCAAACAAATACTGCTAATTCTGTCTGAATTTATAAAGAAAAATAAATATATGAATTGAAAAACAAATAATGCATACATACATACATCTTTTTATTTCAAACACACACTGACAAATCAAATTTAATATCAAGATAAATAAACAATATGATCTAACAATACAGACGTTTTTAGATAAAAGATGTTCTTGACATATGAAGAATGATATGGATTATATATACATATATATATAACCACAATAATCATATCTGGCTATCATATTAGAGACCATTAATTTAATGTATGTGTTTATGCCACTTTGTAAACATGTCTTAAGCACCTTTGCAAGGATGTATTATGTCACTTTTGTGGGTTTAATGTTAACAATTACAGATTCTACAAAATTAAAAATATTTATAATGTTATAAGTACATCATCAAAATACTTATCTATAAATCACATTGGGTAAAACCTTTAAAAATATAACCTGGCATAACAAGAATTAAAAAGTTATGAGTATACACTATGTACTGACTTGTGATTATCTTTTAAAGTACTTACTTCATCACTTGTATCTGGAATTATAAGTGGTTCTTTATAATGAGAAACTTCATAGGTAGCCTTTCTAAGAAGAAAAACATCTCATACGTTCACTAAAAATAAATATTTACTCATAATAACAGAATGGCTAGTAAAATATTATATTTCAAATAAACTAAAAGGCATAGTTCATTCTTACATAGATATTACATAAATACCACCTAAAATAAGTATTCATTGATTTTAAATATGTGTTTCTGTGTGTGTGTATATATATATATATATATATAT